ATTACCCCCAATGAACTTCTCTAATTTATCTCTATGTGGAATGGAGTTTGGAGGGATAGTCACAACCGGAAAGATCGCAATGATAAGAATCGTTCCTTTCGAAGTTTCCATGTTTGAATTGTTGTTCAAAGTAGAGTTGGTATTGATAGCCGAATTCATTTCTATTTACATAAAATAGAAGATTTACTAAATTGAAATAAAAGTAGAAGAAGTTGAACCAATTGATATTTTAACCAAAGAATGAAGTCACTTGAATAAAATCAACTTAAGATTGTTGGAAAAAATGAGTGGATGGAATGACAATCAAATGCCTGGAAAGTCTTGATCAATCTTCTACGAAAATTTCGACCGAGTAACGACAGAAAATGAATCGATTGTTCCACCAAATAAGTGCAGAGAATACTAAATTATCATACAATGTTACGCCAAACGGATGCAAAGTCAAAGCAAGTGTTGAACCCTTTGTCCTTAAGTCGATTTTATCCCGCAATGGTGCCTACGATTTTACGGCAATCAACTTCCAAGATACAACAACTTCTTCTTGTGTGAGTAGCACTTCAACACCCAAGATCAACGAACCAGAAATATGGTATATATACTCCTTGATGCAAATGAAAGAAAAATCATAATTTTATGCAAGTGTGAAGAAAATGATGTCCTAAGGGTCCTACGTATAGATAGCGAAAGGTTGTGAGTGAAGAAATACAACATAAAACTCAGCAACCTTTGACAAAGGTCACAACACTTGATGTCGCTAGCTTTTCGCACTTGACGTCCCTTGCTTACCACCTAAGCCTCACTCGAGCGAAAAAAACAGTGAGCTCGTTGCTCGCTCTTCGCTAGGCTGTCGCTTGAGCGACAGGATAGCGCTAGGTGAACGACGGTGTAACTTCTTTCTTTCCAACTTTTGGATCGTAATTTCTCAATCATATAGAATTGATTTTTGCCTTTCTAATATACCAAGACGATTTACTCAACAAGTAGAATAAGTTGGTTTATTTACATTTATAATTTGACCATAGGATGAAGTTCAAATATTTGATCAAAGTTGACACCGAGTCACTTTTCAAGTTATACTTAATCAATATTTTTGGTTTTATTAACCAATTCCATCAGAGAATAAGCAAGATGGATCAAGCTGCAATCAAGAAGATTTCCCTAATCCTCTCTTCTCGAAAGGAAGAGCGTGAAATTTAGAGACACATGCTTAACTTGATCATTTTTTTTTTTCATTTAGAATTTTTCCATTTCCGATGAACATGATTGAATTAACATTAAGGTGTTCCCTAATATTTACGATTGTTTTATACTCCATGCTTAGTTCTTGAAGGTTTTGAAGTTCTAGCTGGAATAGTATAATTTCAAGTATTCAGCAACAAAATTTGTAATTTTCTACTTTTATTGTCTGTTATATAAAAACATTGTATTTAACACTTTTGAAATCGATTTAGAAAAATATAAGTCCTTCACTTTTTTGTCTCGGTACTCGTATCATTGTTTTTGATCGTCTATCCCTGTTTCATTTATTAGGTAGCTTTTGCATTCAAAAATTTTTCGTTGGCTAGTAATGCTTTGTTGATTCCTATGATATGAACAGATTTACAGAGTCAAAGAAGGAACTCGTGCGCTTATCAAATGTTCCCGTTTTATGATATTGGGTAACAAGATTGATATTTCTTATACTGCTTCAAAGGATGGCTTCATCATTACATTTGTCTAATCGGTCTCATGATTGGTAAGGGCAAAGTCAATCGTGCTAGTACTAATGTCCATCTACTCGAGGTGTTCGCGTACAACATTGTGCACAAAATGGGATACGGTGAGGGTTACATATGGTTGAAAATCTTCATGTGATTACTGTGGCCTATCTTTAAACTGGCATTAGCAGTTAATTGACAAAATTAATGTAAATTTTGATATAAAAGCTGTCACTACTAGGAAGTAGATATATTTCTCTTCAATATAGCGGAATCTCTCTTTCTTTATAATATAGATTGCATATTAGTAAAAAATCATGGTGCATTTTGGAATTGCAGTGGAGGAATGGTGTCATTTTGTAGCAATTTTTACGTCATTCGTATAAAATATATACATATTCTAACTCGACCATCTATATAACCATGCATATATACGATCTCCAAATTTGTTATTCCTCTTTTGTTGTTCTACAATAAAATCTTGACAGATTGTCAGAGGCATCATATCAAAATTTATAATGAGGTTTAGTCGGATTTTTTACTCCTTTAAAGTTTTACAACTTGCAACACTAATAGTGGATTGAGTAGAAACTCTAACTTCATAATCATATTTTGAATTAAGTATGGCAACGTATTTTCATAATTAATAATGAAGAAACAAGTGTGATTTTGATTTTCATGGGCTTCATTGTAAGCATTCAATGGAACATGGTCTATTGTATTACTTTTATGTGGTCCATAATATATAACAAACGCCACCAAAGGTTCTATGACTTTGATCATTATAAGAAGAAAGTACTACATGATAGCTACTCAATCTTCAATTAATCATTTAATTGGCAACATTATTATTGGGAAAATGTCAGCACGAGCTAACTGTATGTTTGATGGTGGTTGGGCTCTCCTTTTACTCTATTAGTTATCTAAATGAATAAGGTTTCATGATTCATATTACCAATCTAAGATGCTCAAATCAAGTATGATAAGAGTCAAATTTAAAAGTTTCATGAAATATGGGCAAGTGGTTGAGCATCATTATTATTGTTGTGCGACTGTTAGTCCAAAATTGGTTGGTCGTTTGATCACCACTTTGAAAAAATGTTTATTTATTCTCAATTTGCGAGTACTTCTTTTAACACTTTTTTTCTATGTATGAAGCTTGAGATTTGAATCACTAGCTAATCGATTATCTTTTGAAATCTCGCGACATTATGAAAATCCTTTTATATCTTTGAACATAAGGAACTTTATATGTGCTTTTTTCTTTTCTTTTCTTTTCTTTTCTTTTTTTTTTTAAATTTGTTGTTTGTGGATCATACTGTAATATCACTTGATATTTTCATAATTATGAAAAAAGAATGGTTTCATAAGTGTCATGTTGATATATAGGATACATTCACATGCAACGTGGTCTAGCGGCTCCGTTAACATATTATGACAATCGCAAGTCCTATAGCTCTGTGATCATTACAAGAATGTATTATATATATTAATCTTAGCAATTAATTAGGAGCATTGTTGTAGAAAAATCGTTGATACGAGTTAATTGTATCTCTGATGATGGTTGGAATGTCATATAATACAATAAATACTCCCTTAAGACCTATTAGTTAGTTATTTGTACCAAATGAATAACTTATTTTAAGTTCGTATTGCTTAAGATGTCCATGATCAAGAGATGGTTCATGCATTACGTATAACTAGTATGTTTTATATTAACCACGATTAAGTGAAAGAACTTCTTGGAGAATATAAATTTTACATTGAATCATATTTCACTTCATTTCATTCATCACCATATATACATATAACAGAATAATGCGAGGGTGGGATAAGAATGGCAAGGGGTGTAGAGTGAGAGTTTGAGACTAAGGTGCATCCACAACTTTTTAGCTATATATTTTATCAACTTTTTATCAAAATTTACTTAAAATCCGATTTTAATTATACCTGAGAATTCACGGGGAATGCTCTAGTAACGCTTGAAAAATCACCTAACGCATTGCAACGTCAAATTCAAATTTTAAGCTTACCAAGTTTACGTTCCAATTAACAATTATTCGACCTTACTGCAGAATTACTAATATAAGCAACAAGTCACTTATTATTAATCATCTAGTTGGTTAAACAATCAAGTCCAATTAATTCCTAAGGTTGAACAGCCGATTTGTAATGCGTAAAGTAAATAAAACAGTAAAAACACAACTCACGATATGATGACGAAGAAACCCCAACGTGGATAAAAACTCCGAGACCAAGCTAGTAAATTCCACTATCCCAATTCAGCAAGTACAAGTTCCCAAATTTCATACCCAATCAAACCCATTGTTTGAATCTCACGATCTATTGCCGTAGATGCAACTATCCTCCTACTAGATTTTTCAATCTACTTCCTGCACCCCAATCTGCTATCCACTACAGCCTCCTGGTTCTCAGCTAATTGTATCACCAAGTGGAATTCCAAGAACCACCTGTTCTTGTCCAATTCACCGCGCTTGTCACCCACCTCTCTCAATCCTCAATGAGAGAGTCCATTCCTTACAAGATTAAGGAAGCACCGGTGTTTTGTTTTCGAGACCTTTGATATTTTCCAAAACTTGGTTGCTGGATCTCAAGAGCAATATGTATATAAATTGACGGGGCGTAATTTATAACCAATTAAAGCTGTCGCCTTTTTTAATGTTTGTTTGGTAGTGATTTTGTTAATTGATTTTTTGACCGTTAAAAATAAAGTGGGTCCTACCTGTGAGAGAAGAATTCAAAAATAACGACTGTAATAGTGAAATAACGGTCAAAAAATAGATTTTAATCAAATTTTATGCTGTACCAAACATGCTCTTAATTCTATCTCAATTGTGTTCGGCGCGTATGTCTCCTCCAGCAATGTCCAATGTAAGCGTGTGTGTATCTATGTAAAGCAGCCTACTTTTATTTTTCCCAGAAGCTGAAGTTTTCTGTGATTTATATCTTTATATCTATATCAAAGCCTCTAGCTTCTATGTATATAAAATCAATACCCAAGCAGTCGTTTTCTCCCTTTTTTGCCCTTTAGTGTTGGCTTCTGTATAGATATATATATATTTTTCAACCTCAGCCACAATATTTGATCCACCTACTTGTGTTTATTCCTTTACAAAATTCTTCTAGCCGCCGCCCACTCATCACTCAATTCTTCCAAAGCCACGGCCAATAATGTTGTGTATATATGTAATAAAAATAGCCCTCAATTACCGACTTCTCAAAAAAACTCCAAGTAGATGTGTATTGTCTTATATATTCCCCAAGGCTGCCTCAATTTTCTTGTTCCCAGTTTTGTCTCCTCAACAGCAACTGCCCAATTTGATTCACAAAATTGTCTTTGCATGCACGTGAATATAGACAATTGAATTCCTAGCTCCAGCCTCCAAGTGCTATCTATTGCGTTTACAAATTATTCCCAAAACTGCCTCAAATTCCGTGTGTGTGTATTAATCTTCAGCAGCAAGCAACCTTTTCTCTCCTCTTTTCCCGGCTATAAACGTATATATGTATATATTTTGGCTGCCCTATTTTTTCAGTTCATCTACGTGTCTATATAAATAGACTTTGACTTATGGGCCATAATTTTCCAAGCTCAAACCCTAGCCCAACTCAAGTATACAATATTGCATTTCACGCCTTGACTTTTAAATATGTTTAATTAAGTCATTTTTTGTTCATAGAATGCCAATTACAATTAAAAACCTAACAATACCAAACTGGGGCTTAACAGAATTGAGACTGAAATACATGGAGCCAGAAATCAATATCAAGCCCTCGTATTTTCACCCGCCTCTACTAAACATCAACAAACTGGCCGGCCCCTATCTCCATCAGAAACGGCCAAGAATTATCAAGTCATTCCAATTCTCTTTCGAAATTCCCAAATCAAAATATGATTTCCGTTAAACTCTCTTCTCAATTTTAATTCTCTTCCCTTCCCCACTTTTATATCAAAAATCTGTGTCTTCTTCATTTCCATTGTTCCTTTTTAATGGATTCCCTCAAGAACATGTACGATACTGTAATGCAGTTATCAAGAAACCTCAACTGCCTTCTTTCAGAATCAAGAACACAAGGGTTCTTCATGCTGATACTTACTCTAATTCTCCTCATCTTCTTCTTCTCAAATTCAAATGATTCGTCCCCCGCCATTTCTTACACCAGTTTAACCTCCCGGATTCACTCCTCTTCACCTTCAGATCAAGTGTCGCCATTGTCTACAGTTGTTTCCGCTGATCCCTGTCACGTCGCCGCATTTTCGCCATCTGGAACAACCCGTAAAAGTTCCAGAAGTTCTGGGAACTGTAGCGTTTTTAACAAAGAAATTGCTTCTTGTGATTTCTTTGATGGCCATTGGGTTAAGGAGGAAAATTTCGAACCGCTATATAAACCTGGTTCTTGTCCTTACATTGATGATGCCTTCAATTGTTTCAAGAATGGCCGCATTGATTCAGATTACCTCAAGCTCAGGTGGAAGCCACATGGTTGTAAGATTCCAAGGTTAATTCATATTAGCTTTTTGTTCTAAATTCTTGTTCATTTCTTTTATAATGTGTTGTTTTGTTATCTTCTTGAGCATGAAGTCTTGGTTTAATGTGATAATTGTCTTGGAAATCTCAAGGTTTAGTGGGTTGAAAATGTTGAAGATGCTGAGAGGAAAAAGAATGGTGTTTGTAGGGGATTCACTGAACAGGAATATGTGGGAATCGTTAGTCTGTGCCTTGAGAGAATCGCTGGTTCATAAAGACAGAGTGTTCGAAGCTTCGGGCGGTAGAGAGTTCAGGAGTCAAGGGTTCTATTCGTTCAAATTTGAGGTCATCAAAATCTCCGGCATTGTTCTTCAATTTTAATTTGAAATCCACATGGGTTCTGTTTTTTTGAATTTCAATCATTTGCCTATGCTTAGGACTTCAAATGCTCAATTGATTTTGTCAAATCTCCATTCCTTGTTCAAGAATGGATAGTTTCGGACAAGGCTGGAACACGTAGAGAAACGCTGAGGCTCGACTTGATGCAAGGCTCTTACAACAAGTATCATGATGCTGATATTATTATTTTCAACACAGGTCACTGGTGGACTCACCAAAAAACCTATAAAGGGTAAGTTAAATTTCTCCGTCCAAACACATCCATGTTCTGATTTTGTTTAGAATTACACAGCACAGCATATACAGTATTGTGCAATCAGAAAGTAGTTATCTAAGAACTCACAGTTTAATTGTTACAGAAATTACTACTTCCAGGAAGGCAATCATGTGTATAGTAAGCTTGAGGTGGCGGATGCATATAAGAGGGCATTGAGGACGTGGGCTCAATGGGTTGATACTACTATCAACAGCAGTCGAACCAGGGTCTTCTTCCATGGATACTCTGCTTCTCATTTCAAGTAAATAAAACTCTCATTTACTACTAACATTTGCTCCTATGCTTACATATATCCAGGATCTCGTGTTCACATTTTGATAAAGTATCTGTCATATATCTATTATCGCTTGTTTCCTAGTAGACACAACTCTGACACTACCAGATGTTAATACCGTTATAGTGTAGCTACTCAATATGGAGCTCGGATCTGATTAAGCAAGGCCTACGTTCTTCCTCATCACTCATAACTTAAAATAGAGTTATTTCTAGATCACTTGCATATACTTTGTTGAATTACTAACTATTGTGGCATTCAATTCAAAATCTGTGCAGAGGAGGTCAATGGAATTCTGGAGGTAATTGCTATGGTGAGACTAAACCGATAATGAACGACACCTATCTTGCACCATATCCATGGATGATGAGAGTCCTGGAATCTGTAATATCAGAAATGAAGACTCCTGTTATTTACCTCAACATAACGAAAATGACTGACTACAGAAAAGATGGGCATCCCTCAATTTTCAGGCAATCAGTAACACAGATGAAGCCTGGCACAATCCAAGATTGCAGCCATTGGTGCCTCCCAGGGGTACCAGACTCTTGGAACGAGCTTCTCTATGCCATATTGCTTAGATCTCAGAAAAAAATCTAAGTAATTACTAGATTTTCCAACTTTTTTACCTTTGTAAATTTGATATCATATATTGAGGATCATATCATCTTGCTCCTTTGTTCATGTCTTAAAGCTTGGAAGAGACATCATTTTGATTCATATTTCACAATATGGAAGTTTTCCGGATAATCTAGGGAAGTTATATGCTAGGTTTTCTCATTGTTGAGGTCTTTTTAAGATTTTCTAGTCAAATTGTCGGAATGGTTAAGGAATCGAATTTATCTATATGTACAAGGTTGGATCTCACAGGGTTTTCACAAGTTCCTCATATGAGGTGAATCCCACTTCATTAAAAAATTGCCCAAAAAATTTCCAGCCCCCATGTTGGTGTGTATTTGATAGGCCCCTACGTAGTAACCCAGGCTCAAGGAATAAGCAAATTCTCATTATTTTATTATAGTTGTACAATTACTCCATAATGGCAAAAATCATCAAAATCGTATTTAACCTATGTTTGACAATCATTATTTCAAACTCTTTATTTTACATACTCATTTTCAATCACACGTTCACACAATAAAATATAAAACATTTCCCTAATTTTTTACTACAAATTCTCCAAAAATTTATTATCCAAAATTTTGTTTTTACCAAATAATAACCATCAAACAAGGGGTTTAAATTGTCATGTGGTCTCACGGAACCATTTTCCCAATTCAAAGTTGCAAGAGTCGATGAAGTTGGAAAATAAAATGCAACTTTATAAAGTTAGACATAGGATGACCACGTTGTTATTTAATGAAGATTTTGTGCATGCTTAATTAAGATTTAAGGGCTTATAAGCAGTAAATCCAAAATAATGTTTCCTACATATATAAAAGAGCGAAATAGTGCCGGGACATGTGTCACAAATATATATCGTCATCCTTTTTTTTTTT